CACTCTGCACTGTTCCAGCAGAGCTGCCCCAGCTCCCCAGCCCTGCAGGAAGCCCTTTGCCAGCAGCAGCTCCTGGGCTCAGCTGGACACGCCTCACCTGGGAGCAAACAAACAAACACTTCCAAGGGGCTGAGGCGTCCCTTTGTTCCCTCTCATTAACCCCATGGATTAATTATCCCTGATTTGGAGTGGGACACAGCCAACGGACTTGGCAAGAAAAGGCACTTCACCCTCCCCTCAGCAGGGCAATTACAGCTCCCTCTGAGGGTGACTTTATTGTCTTTATTTTACCTTCAGGTTCTTGAGGAAGGCAGAGGCATTTTTTTTTTTCCCTTTGATGTAGAAGGTGAGGATCCCTGGACCGCCTGTGCACTGCTTCTTCATCACCTCGTGCTGAGGGTGGGAAGGCAGCCCTGGAATGGGGAGAGTTGGGAGAATTCCCAGTGAATTCCAGTGCAGAGCTGGGCACCCAGCCCCAGTCACGGGGCACCACAGCTCCCAACTCCCTGCCCACCCACCTGGGTAAAGGACCTTCTCCACCCGGGAGTGGAATTCCAGGAATTTGGCCACAGCCAGGCCATTCTTGAAGTGCAGCTTCATCCGGATGTGCAGAGTCTTGAGCCCCCGGTTGCACATGTAACAGTCAAAAGGGGAGGGGACAGCTCCCAGGCCTAGGAGGGAATGGGAACAGAATTCCAGAAAATTCCACAAATTCCACAGAATCCCACAGCAGCATTGGTGTTCTGCATTCAGCAAAGCCGAACACATCCTCATCTCCAGCATTTCTGAGGTTGGAACACGTGGGAAGACACTCAAGGCAATCTCTGTTCCTCATCTCCCACACTGGGGAGCCAATTAATGAGGCCAATTAACAGGCTCAGACCTCAAGGATTGCATTTATTGGGCACAATGCACCTTCACTGCAGAGGGCAGAGCCATGGGCAGGAATTTATTCCTGACAATGAAGAGGCTGGAAAATCGCTGGAATCATCAGAGATAAGAAAATTCTGCATTGGGCCCATCATGATGGGTGAGGGAGTTCCAAACCCCCCAAACCACGGGGGGAACATCAGTGGGTTCAGGATGGGCTCCAGTGCTCTCCTGAAGTGCTTAGGAAGTGGAGATCAATGTCCCTCATTTTATTGTCATTCTTCTCCACTTTGAGTTGTACTTATCGAAGTGGTTTTTTTTAAATTGAACTTTTTCAGTTCTGCCCATTAAAGTCACATTCCCAGGCAGATTTCCCACTTGTGTGCGTGCCCACCCTTCCCAGCAGGAGCTGTGGATGTGAACAGGATTCCTGTCAGGAATTCCCTGTCTGCACTTACGAGACTGCAGGTGTTTGAGGCTCTCATAGAGATCATCCCGGTTTACAGAGACCAGGCCCATGAGGACATCGCAGTGCCCTACAAATGACAGGGGACAGGAATGGGATCAGCCACTCCAGGCTCCTGCCACAAGCCCCAAGTGTAAATAAAACCCCTGGGACACCTCCCACCATCCCAGGCTGCTCCAGGGGCATCCCCACCCTCCCAGCCAGGAATTCCTTCCCAATCTCCCTCCATCCCTGCCCTAAGGATGTGCTGAACTCTCAGACTCACCATTGATGTATTTGGTTGCAGAAGATATACAAATATCAGCCCCCAGGGACAAAGGACGCTGAAAGGAAAGGAAAATAACAACATAATTCAAGTTTGGCTGCACTCAGGTTCATTCCCTGCCTTTCCAAAGGGCTCTGAGCTCACACAGGAAAAACGAATGGAGAAACAAACACAAAAACCTGAGAATGGCAACAGAACATGTGCTAAAAGCAGCAGTACAGGGAGGCACTCTGAAAATGTGATTTAAAAGCACTGCTCCAGCTCCCACAGGCTCCAGGGAGAGAAGAGACTGAGCACATCCAACAGACACTGCAGAGCTGGGAAAAAATGGTTCTACTGCTGAGCTGAGGCAGGGACAAATCCTGGCACTGACCCACAGAGGGCATTCCCTGGGAAAGGAAGGGCTCAAACTGCAAAGCAAAAGAACTGCTTTGCTTTCCAGGTGTTGCAGATCCTGCCCTGGGGGAGCTGAGAACACGAGGAAAGGAGGCTCCTTTGGCAGCCCTCTCTCCCCTCAGCTCCCAGCCCTCTGCCCAGGAGCCTCCTGAAGTGAGACAAACCAGGAGGTGGATGAGCAAGAGGTGCTGAGCAGTTCCAGATTTTTAACTGATCATTAATTAAGGCACCTTGCCCATGGTATCAACACATTCTAAAGAGCGAGGACCATCACTGTTAAAATGGAACAAAGCAGGCAGATTCTAGCCCACAGTAAGATCAACAATGCTTCAAAGTTTGTTATTCTGAAGCATTTGTAAAACTTAAAGAAACCCACTTCTTGGCTTCCAGTTATCAATACAGAAAAGTTCTGGTAGTTGTTATGAAGAAAGTTGTAAACTTCTGAGTCATACATTCAGCAAAATGTTGAAGAAAAAGGTCACCTGGATGTTTCCAGGAAAGACTGGACAAAGATTGCTTGGTTTAAGTTTTTCTTCCACTACCTACTGATTTTTAGCTTTGTGGCTCAGAACAGCCCATGAACAGCATCTACAGAAGAATTGATGTAAAAAGGCCAAAGTGAGGGAACACTTTTTAACTGTTCTGATTTCCATCAGGAAGAACAGAATTCCATCATTCCTGAAGGACAGACACCCCTGCCCCCTTCACTGGTGCACCCACAGCAGCACCTGGGCTGGGGCTGAACCAGAGCAGCTGATTTTACCATGCAGAGACCAAAACTGCAATTCCTTGGCAGCACTTCCCTTCCCAACAGGGATCTCCAGCCCCACTGGGACAGGTGACAGCCCTGTCCTTTTCCCACACACCTGGAAATATGGAGACATCAAGCTGTTGTCCACGGCCACCAGCACATCCTTGTACTTGTGTGCCACGTCTGCGCAGGCTTTGATGTCGATCACCTTCAGCGTGGGGTTCGTGGGGCTCTCGAGCCAAACCAGCTGCACAAACCCAAAAATCTGCAGGTCAGGGAGGTCCCAGGGCTGGGCTGAGTCCCAGGGGCTCTGGGGGTTCAGTGGTGGCAGCTCCCCGTGGGGTTGGTGCAGTGGGATGGGCAGTGGCCCTGCCAGAGCCAGGGGAGGCTCCAGCTGGTCCCTCCAAGCTCAGGGAGGTTTCCCTGGGCTGGGTTTGGGCCATCCCAGTGCATCCCAGCTGGAGAAGGCCTCCCACAGCCAGGGCAGAGCCTTTCCCAAAGCCTTTCCAGCACAGTTCCCGTCCCCTGGAGCAGGGGATCACCCAGCAGTGCCACGGAGCACCCTCGGCTCCGCACTCGGTGTTCCCTCTGCTCTTCCTCACCGTTTGCCTTTTCCCTCCTTTCTCTCCAGGGCTTTCTGCCCTTCTTAGGATGCTTTCCATGAGGCAGCACCGTGGGATATGGTGGATCCAGCTGAGCCCCAAGCTGCCCCCCCTCAGCTCAACACACCCCCAAATCCAGCAGGAGCAAGGATAAAGCAATTTAACATCTCTAAAATCCACTTCTCTCTCTCCTACCTTGGTATCTGATGCAATTGCAGCTTCCAGCAATTTTAGGTCTGTGCAGTCAACATAACGAACTTTGATATTATAATCCTTTTCTAGTTTGTCAAATAATTCCCTCGTGCCTAAAAAGAAACAAAAATAAAAAAATGAAACAAGTTCCTTAATGTTCACTCCCTGCTCTCCAGCCTCCTGCATCATGCAGGGACACTCAGGAGGGCACAGCTTATGCTGCACACCAGAAATGGCACATTTATATTTTCTCTATTTATACAAAGTTAAAAGATTGTTGCAGATTTAATGATCATGAAATAGCAATAATGGAAATATGGGATGAGAGTGATTTAGGAAGTACTTGAAATCAATGTGGGGTTTATAATCAGGAAATTAAACAGAGAAGAATGAAGGGGAAGGCTCCAGCCACTGATTCCCATCTGTCCAATAAAAATGATTCCTTCCTGTCCTTGAAGCCTTTCCCTGGAAAGATGTAAAGAATCCAGCAGCAACGGGGATCAATGGATGTGCAGCACTCACTACCAGGAAACACTGCCTGCATTAAAAATTTATTGATCAGCTCCTTTTGCCAGGTGATCCCCAGGGACTCAGTTTTCCATCTGAGCATGAAGGGCTGGAACATGGAGGTGGGTTCTGCCAGCTGAAGGAAACATCTGAGAGATGCTTGGGAGGTTCTTTTGTGAGAAACCCTTTCTTTATAACAAACCAAGGCGGAGGAGAAGCAGTGAAATTCACCCCTGCAGAAACCAGCCCAGGCTGAGGCTGAAAGGAGCAGGGGAAAGTTCCCAGGAACTGCAGTGAGCCCACCCTGCTGAGGGACTCTGGCAGGGCCGGGTGCACCCTGCCACTGGGCAGTGTGAGGAAGAGGGGATTGATAAAAACTGCCTTCAAAGGACAGGGGCGTCCCACAGGGGAAATTCAGAGCGCCTGAGAGCCACAGACAGGTTTGATCCCCTGCACAAAGGAGGCTGAAGACACTGAATGCTGTACCCACCTGAATAGACATCATCAATGCAGACAATTGCATCCCCCGGCTTCAGCAGGTAGCAGATATTCAGAATTGCTGCCATGCCAGAGGAATAAGCCAAACCTGGAGGAGAAAGGATCATCAGTGCTTGATGTGACGCAACAAGTCAGATTTGCCTTGGCCTTCCTCGCTTTGCCTCTGAGAAGAACCTGTTCTGTCACTGCCTCACTGAGAATGTGGAGCCAGTGAAAGCAGGAGATGGATGTGCACAGCAGGGAACCAGCACGGACACTGGGACAGACTGGGACAGACTGGGACAGACTGGGACAGACTGGGACAGACTGGGACCAGGGGCTGCCTGCTCCCACTGCCTCCAGTGCTGCTGCACAAGGATGGATCCAGCTCAGCCCAGGCCATCAGTGAGGAAGCAGCAGAGAAACCCAGGCATGGAGCTGGAATTTCCTGAGCCAGAAGCGTTGGGCTCTTCCCCACCTTGGAGCTGCTCCTGCCCACAGCCAAGAGCCAGAGCCGTGGTCACAGATCCATGGAATGGTTTGGGATGGAGGGACCCCAAAGCCCACCCAGTGCCACTCCCTGCCATGGGCAGGGACACCTCCCCCTGTCCCAGGCTGCCCCAAGCCCTGTCCAACCCATGAGGTGCTCACAGTATTCAGCTCCATCAGCAGCAGCCAGGCTTTTCAAATCCATTTGCTGCCCTCGGTGTTTGGCTCCATCAAGGGCAGTCATAACCTTCTCCAGGACATGCCGGCTTGGGTTCCCAGACCGGGTGTATGTATAACCCTGGGGTGGCAATAGAAAACAAACATCAGAGAGGGCACTGGGAAATTCTGGGATAACAGCAGCTCTAGGTTCCTTAAAGAGCCCTGGCTGAGGGCATCCAGCTCCTCCCAGAGCAGCAGGAGGGTGTCCTGGCACAACATCCAGCTGCGGGGCAGAAGGGCTGGGGAGAGCCTCCCATGTTTCCGGCTCCGGGCAGCCCCTGGAGCAGCATTCCTGCCAGCCTGGGGGCACTGGGGGCTCCCTGCTCCCCTTCCCCCGCCTTCCACACGGGAATCACCCCACGCTCACGCCAAGCGCTCCGGGCCGCCGCCCGCCGCGGCACGCAGAGCCCCGGGCTGGCTCGGGTGAAGGCAGCACAGCGGCTCCTGCGCTGCCACCGCTGCCCGGCGGGGCCGTCCCGGGGCGCAGGGCCCGGCCCCGCGGGCAGGCGGCTCCGGAACGGCCCCGCCGGGAGCCCGCAGCGCCTCCCGGGCGAGAGCCCCGCACCGGCCGGGGGAAAGGGCCGGGAGCGCCCGCAGAGCCCCGCACCGGCCGGGGGAAAGGGCCGGGAGCGCCCGCAGAGCCCGGGACCGGCCGGG